TCTGATCCATAGAGAAGGCGAGTTATTGATGCTGGTCACCCTGTGTGACTCTTGCTGCCACACCACCATCAGGCCAAAGTTTTCATTTTTAAAAATTGTAATAATTAAAACAATAACTTGGGTAAAATTTGCCATGAACATTTCAGAAGCCCAGAATAATTGATTTTCTAGACCCGACACCATTTCCTGTTGTGCATCCACCAGGCCTGACTATAGACTTCGCCTAAGGGGGAATGCTGTCATTTTTGGGATATACCCTGCTTTCGTCCATCCACAGCATTTGTCTAATTTATTATTTTTCTTACTTAATTCCTATTCTTCCTTTCCCCCCCAAAAAAGGGCGCTATCTTTTCCCACACAGCTTGAAACTATGTCCAATGTTCATCTTGTTGCATATTTTGGGAACTGCATTACTTGTACTCAGATTTTTGATCCAACTTTTACTTGTTGAAAAATTTCACCAACTTTTTTGCCTTTTGTATTGTGATCCATTAAAGAACTCCAGTAACTAAAATGTTGGTTATAGAATTCCACTGACCCTTGATGCTGTGATTGACCCTGTAACAGTGGTGTTATTACAGGGTCAACAACACCACAGAAGTTGAATTCAATCCAAATTCTTTAGTCAACGCCATAGTTCTGTGGTTACTGGGAGGGAGGTAGAATGTCCTGCCTGTAATATAATCACAATGGGAGTTTGACAAACAAGCAAAATACAAAATTTAAGTCTCTCATCAATGCAGACACAAACTACTTCTACAGGTACTACTGCATGCCACCACACTTGCAATAGCTGCAGTAGTAGCAGTGTGTGCATGGAAACGTGTTATTTATTGCATCTGAAAATGTATCCCAAGAATCATTTGGTTCTGCAACACATTGTTTAAGTGCATTCTGTTCTTCATTCTCACTCACAAAAATTTCATTCACACATTCCAATTGTCTTGGCTTCCTCATATGGTTGCTATGGTGACTGGCAAAACATCAACTTGTTGGAACAGTTAACGCTAACCAGGCTGAAATTCAGATCTTAAGTTTTGGAAAACACATATCATAAAAGAAATACCAGTTTATATAGCACCACAATAGATGCAACACAAGGTGCTTTACAAACATGTGCTGCATAAAATGTAAAAGAAGAGAGCTACATAAAGGTAAGGATAAAAAGACATGTAGTTAGTTTCAGTTTGCAAGGGTCTGTGCTATTTATTGCCCTCAGATCCACTGGGGGTTTATTACAAAAACTTGGACCAAAATGATTAAATGCAGCTTCAATGTGAGTCATTGTATGGCATTTTGGGACAGTTATAAGAAGACTCTCACAAGACCTGAAAGATGATTCTTATTCAACGTACACGTCAATCACATAACCAAACCACTCCAGACCATAAAGACATTCATATACAGTTAAGAGAACCAAAAAAAAAAAAAAAAAAACAATTTGGAAGGTTGACCGGTCCAACAACAGCATGTTTCCTAAGTGCATCAGTTTACTTCAAACAAATTCAAGTCCAGAGAAAATGGCAACATTTCTTGACTCTTTGATAATTGGCCTCCTCGGTACAGGCTTTGCTTGCATTTGTGAATGCATTCATGTATTGTGTTTACTGAAAAAGGTTTTCCAATGTAGTCCCAGCCTATGTGATTACATCTATCACAAAAGCATATTGGTTTTCAACGTAGAGTCATCGGAAAAACTGAAAATCAGGGGACGCAGTATTGATTTTCAACCTCGTTCCTCACACAGAAATTTCTCTTGATTCCTTCAATATTTTAATAATATTATGCTTAGTAGAAGGTCTTGTTTTGTCGTTCTTAAGTTATTTTAAAAATGTTGTTTTATGCAAAGCCAGCTCTTCACCAGATCATGAGCCTTGACCACTCGTTAATTTTAGACAACTGGGCCTTTAGTGAAGGCTTTCTTTATATCCACGTATACTATTTTAAACCTGTTTTTATTCCAACTCTTTCCAAGTCCCGGTCCCATCTTTTTCTAACTTATTGCATGCATCAGAATAAGCATGAATTTCCAAATAAACATGAAATGTCTTCTTCTGTTTTTGATTCAAAGATGATCCACAAATCATTGCTTCATTTTTACTTGCATTTTCCATACTGTCCCGCCATTATCAGAAATTGGGTTGTAAAACACATGGCAGTGCAAAGTAAAGTTCAATCATCAGACGTAGGACACCCAAGAAATTGGATTCACGCAATTGTAACCTTCAGTCTGTCATAAAGATGCCCATAATGTGTCACTGTTGTTTACAGAGATTTCACATCACCCGCCATCTCCCCACCTTCCCACCACCACCAGCTTCTGACTATGGCCATCTTCAGCATTGTGCCCATCATTCCTCTGCTGATCTGATAACCCTTTCTTCTAAATGCGGGATGGCTTCATCTCTGATCTGCACCTCACGTTGCGGGAGGGTCCTCGAGGATGGACTCATCGGCAAACATTTTATTGAATTTATTTCGTTGTTTATAAATCTCCTCAACTTTAATTCTGGAGTCTTCATGATTTTTTTTTGGACACTGTCACAAGGTGCCCCAGTGCAGCTGCAGCTCACCACAAGGAAATGTCTACGGACGCGGACGGACACGGACGCGGACGAGGCCGCAGCGGCGGAGACAACAAGCATGAATCCATAGTAGCCACTTGACTTTGTTCCGGGGCTGTAATTATGTGTTTTCAGCACAACAGTACCGATTCACAACATGTATTTCACTCTCAGTCGATGCAGAATGCATGGAACATGTAGCCCTATGAGATGAGCAATATCATAATCACTCTAATATGAAAATGAACAACATGCTTTCATGTTTTCTAGTCCAGTTATTCACAAAGATGGAGCTGTCACCCCTCTGATCCTCCTCCCACCTCCGCTCTGTAATTGCTGATAAATTGATTGCACAGAGACATAACAAAGATTCTCTCCAGCAACTCATTTCATGTTCACAAATGCTGTGGTTCAGCTGGGGTCAGTGCAGAATTAAAACAGAAGAGGTCAATTCTGTTCAATACTTCTGGCTCAAGGACGGCTGAAATTTCCATATTTGAGAAATGAAACCTGTGGGGAGACATCCCTGCCTCGGGTCTCGCTGTCTGTTAGCGTTACAGATAAAATTGACTATTCCCACCTCACTTTGCGATTATTTTTATTATTATTATAAACCTCATTTGAGCTGCGCTGTTCTACAATTATTGCAGCCCGAAGGGATTCGCTGAACACAATGAAATAAACACTGATTAAATTAGTTTAAAATCTGAGCCTCTAAAAAAATCGATTGAACGTGAGCTGTAGGTTCATTGCTGGAACCTGAATAAACGGCTTTAAAAATCAGCCCATTTGTCGCACTGCATGAATTCAAATCATCATACAAATTGTGTGCTTTTTGCTCTCAATCAGAGCACACAAAGATGTGACTGTGAGGCACCTGTGCCTCACTTGTTGGTCCATCTGTCAGGAATCCCTTGTAGCCCTTGTGTATCGATACGGGGCTATAAAAGCTCCAACAAAGATGGTCTGGATCAGAACCAAGACAGAAAGAAATGAAGCCACCATGCTAAAGACATCAACAGGGAATTTTTTTTTTCTTTTTTTGATTTGATAAGTATTTTCTGGCTGCCATGCCGATTAAAGAGGTTGAAAACACAAATTTTGTATCAAAGTTATTGTAACAACAGTGTGGATCAACTTAAAGCCAAAATGCTACTTGAAAATGCCATTCATGTGATGTCCGAGTACAGAGGAGCATTTGATGAAGCCAAACACACAGCTCAAGACCTCACAAATAAGTAGGACTCTCAAATACAGTTTGAATATACAGTATATGAACAAGAAAATTGAAGCATGACTCAGATGAATTTTGTGAGGGTTGCTCTTCAGATACAGAGAGCTGTTTTCGATTAAATGTCCTCTGGGCCAGCCTGGATATTATGGTCATTATGATAAAGACATATCAAGCAGCCTCCCTTGACAAATGTTATTGTTCAGCATTGTTCAGCACTTTTTTCATAACCGCGTTGGCAAATCAGTTATCAGTGATCCATCAGCTCTCCAGAATGCCTATTGTTGACATTCACTCAGTGACTTCTGTCTTTGATGAAGTGTGCAAGGCCTTTCTCTCGTTTAAACCATCCCTGTTTCTACCACAAGTGCTGAACAATGGCACAAGACAGACTGACTGCGTTGGCCAGTCTCTATTGAGAGCAAAGGGATTGGACCTCAGGTGCAACAAGTATCTCGGACTGGGCTAGCAGTAAGTAAGCCTGGGTGTGTTTAATTTAGTATAACAGAATAATCGATTAGATTTGCCAAATTTGTTCAGTGATTAACAAAGGGGGAAAAGACGGTTAATTTTTCAGTCAATATGCCAAACCTTTTCAAAACTTTATTTTTGCGTTTTCTCAAATTGTCTTTGTCTTTCATTTTGTTTCAAGCTAAGAAACAATTAAGGGCCCAGAATTATGCAGTTTCTTTTTTTGACGTTATTATATCCTTTTTCTTGGATGTCCAAATAGCAGGGGGTTTATAACAATTTTAGCAAACAACTAACTGACTAACTAAATAAATAACCTAATAAATAAATAAATAATCTATGAAAGTCCATAATTTCTTGGCCATTTTCTGCCAGTCATTCTCTTCCTTTCGGCTGCCTTGAGTGGGTGTCTCCTATGTGATAGTGAGCTCTGCTCTGATTGGGCAAACTGCAGAAAAGCAATGTTAGAGCTACAAGGGAGAAACAGTTCAAGCAAGGCAGTAGGACAGAGCTGGGCACACAGAGCTGGTCGGCATGAGCTAGGCGAACAGGTTTGATTATAATATAGAAAAAGTGAGCAACAAACTGCATCTTCCACATGCTGAAGTAGAGAAGAGGGTTTAATGCTTCACCCTCTCTGGGCTGTTCGAGACAGCCGAGAGCACTGTACAGGAGCTATGAACTGGGAAAATGGTTTTCCCAGAGGAAACATGTAAACTTCATACAGAAAGGCCCAAACCAGCAAGGGCTCAAACCCAGAATCTCCTTATTGCGAGACAGCAGTGCTACCCACTGCACCACCATACCAAATTCCTAATTCAATGAAACTGCCAGAATTTCAGAATTTAAAAATATCAATTGAAAGAGATTTCAGTTATGCAGGGTTCGCCGTTACACTCCCCTTTAAATGGATTATCTCTTTAATGTTGGGTTTAATATTGGCGTTATGCTGGGGTTGGGAGCAGCACTCAGTTAAGCCGTTCAGATTTGTGTAACGGAGGACAGAGAAAGCTTTGGCCAGTGAGGGTGTGTTTTACTGCACAACAGAGTGCTGTAATATGGGTGCAGAAAAAGTGGACCCTTGAAACCTGACTTAAGCACTTATATTGTTTTTCAGTTCCATACTTTCAACATCAGTCCCCCTGTTAAACTTTACTGGCTTTGTCAGGCAGTTTTGTTGTTTCATTCTATTGTCTTTAAGCTCTGAAAAATTTGTAAATTTGAGTCCTTTGTAAAATTGTGTCATTGTTATAATCCCTCCCTTGTGTCTATAATTCCGGCTCTCAAACATTTATTTGAGTCTGATACTGTAAAGGCAAAATGAAATCTCCTGTATTAAAGATCTTTATAACTGGCATCGCATCCCACAAAGATTCAGTGAACTTGTAAACTTATCTTCTCAAGAGAAATAACTTTATTATTCCCTCGGCCTATAATGCGAGGGGATATAGCTTATTGCTCAGTCCATCTCTCCTTCTCTTTGTCTGTCTCTCTGTCTGTCTATCTGTCCATCTGGCTGTAAACATTTTTGTCTGGAACATCACTTGAAAACCGTTCAATATTTTTTCACAAAGCTTTAGACACAGGTCAACTATATGCTTGAGCAGTGCACTTGCTACTTTGGAATTTTTGACAATTTTATTTTTACCATTTTTACGGAAACATTAGGTTAATTTGAATGGGAAGCAGTGGCCTGGCAGATATGCCATCTCCTGATGGCTCTCATTAAACCTCTTGCTGAGAAACAGTGCACCTTTCCTGCTGGTCAGATGCTCAACACCCACCCTCAAGTGGGCTAATGCTAACACTTGTGAGCTGGCTAAACCTGCTCTGAATAACATTACCCTCCCACAGATGCCCTCAAATCTGTATGCTGAATCAGGGCTTTCAACAAGACATGGACACTTCTTCTGCTCAAGGAAGGTTAAAAGTTTAATATAGGTCTGGGCCTCAGTCAATTTCCCTTTGGGTTTCCCTCCAGCACACAGCTGAAAAAAAATCATGCTTAAAAGACATATGATGCCTCATCAAGGGCACTGCTGTAATCTCACAATAAAATGACTATGACACACTCATGCCATGTGCCCTTTATACGTACTCCTACAGGCCTAGTGTGTGCATCTCCAGTCTGTCATAATCATTGAATCAATGTGACATTCTTTTTTTTTTTTTTGACCTCTCACAGAACTCTCCTGGCCAGTTATTTGACTGCAGAGAATTTTTGGCAGGGCATATATGTAAAATAGACATTGCTCCTTAAGTGAGTGCACCAATTAAATTATGGGTGAGAATAAGAATGGGGAAACATTTAGGCCTCCAGGAAGCAAGCTCTAATGCTCCTTAATTCCATTCAAATTTGCAAAGTGCCAAGATTGGCTCAGAGAACTTTACATTAAAGATTACTCTGGCCGCGAGCTTCTTCCCGCCCGGCAAGGTGAGGGTCTTTACAGGCTTTAACGATCTGTACGCAGAACACTGAAGTCTAATATAGTCTAAGAGGTAGACTGAGTGAATGTAAATGATGTGTGTTAGGGTGAAGTACTGTCATGTATCTAGCTCTCAGAGCTACTTGATTAAGAGAATCCTGTCCGAGCTCTGATAACACTGAGCTGCATGATAATGTAATTGCAGCCAGCATTCTGTTACAAATCGAAGCCAGCAATCCCGTACACAAAGGGTATGGCCAACTTGCACCTCAGGAGATCCTGCAGCAGAAATCGGAGTTTGATTCGGAAGGCTTCAGTTTTTAAAGGTGTAACTTTAGTACTGGAAAATCAATGCTACTCAGTATTAAATTGAACTCCTAAAAACAATTTATTACCCAGTAGATGCAGGTCAGATTTTTATGGTTAGAACTAGTCGCTAATTTTAGGTCATAAAAAATGAAGGCATTTTTTGTGAGGCATAGCCTGCAGTAGTTAAACTGTTGGTTTTACTCCTTTTTAGTTATGCTCTTACAATAAAGGGCATTTTAACAATGCTGTCATTTCATTCAAACAGCCTTGAACCGGCGTCAAGCTGGAGGTATAATTAAAGTGTTGTCGGCCTCCATCTTGTGTGCCGGCTTGTATCTATCTGTCTTTATATACAGAGCTCCTGGCCTCAATCCAAAAGTCAACACAAACTACATTTCCTTAAGGGCTCCCAAGTTTATTTAGTCTTGAGAACCAAAACTAGCTGACTCTTCAGCTTCAAGACCAGCCTTCTCCACCAGCAGATATTAGCAGATATTGGAAATAGGCTACTTGTCATTCTGAATCAGCAGTTTTCCTGTTATGATCACAATACTGAGAGAAATGAATGCTGTCAAGGAACCGAATTATCAAAGCCGATAGTCTTTTATGAAATTTATTCTGGTCGTCAAATTGTGAGGAAATAATTGAATAACAGTTACTGACAAAAACTGACTGCAGAAGTCTATGCCTCCCCTGGCACCACAAAAGAGACCCTAGAATGGGCGCTTGTAAATTTATGCTAGAGCGAAATGGGCTATTTTTTACAGTAGAATTCATATTGATTGGAACAGAAACATAAATAGAGAGGAAAAACCAATGAATGACCTACAAGGTGTTTTGGATGGAAACTGAAATGACAACAATGAAGGGAGTAGTGAGGGAAGGCAGGTACGGGAGGGAAGGGGTGGGGAGGGGAGGTGAGGAATGCTTCCTTCCTCCACAATGCTAACGGGCGATTGTTTTTTAACTGGACACACCTGTTTAATTTTGCACAGATGAAATTATCTGATGAATTATTAAAGCAGGTAAGCTTTCTGCCTCTCTTAATTGTTGCTCTTTGGTATTCAATCATTGCCATTTTTAAGCCTCTCTTCTCCTCCCTTCACTTTGAGGGCTTTGTGAGTCTGGCTGATTGAACACAATTTATTTTTAAAGACCTTCGATTCCCACAGATGTTTTTGACGTTTGCACTCAGCATTATTATTGGTTGCTGCATGCAAATTGGTCTTCAAAAGCATGTCACTGTCATTTATAAGCGTCTATGTGAAAGCCAGAGGGCTGGAATGTAACACGTTCCACGGCCAACTGTGGGCTGTCGTCCCCGGTGACGTCGCACCCCCTGCCCCACGTTGGCCACAGCGACAGGTTCGCAGCATTCTCGAACCATCTGGCTCGATTCCTGTGTGACCTCTATGGGAGCCCTAATCAGAACAAAATGGTCGTCCTCTCCTGCAAAGGGGCCTGCCGCCTCAGGTGAAGCTCCGCAGATGAAAGGCTAGATTTCGTGCTCCATGACAGCTGTATATTAATCTAAAGAACTTCTGACAAATCAAACAGATTTTTTTTCTCTCCCTCTCTTCCAAACACATCCCTGGAGCTCCTCATCAGGCCAGGTATGGACTTGAAACGAAATAGATTTCATCTTTAAGGGATGGGCTCCGCTGAAACCCCACCAGCTGCCGCTGCTCTTCTTCTCTGCTTTTAATACTTCTACAAACTTGCGCCATATTGAGAGCAATAAAGCAGGAACACCACGACTTCAAACTAATTCAGTAATTGAGAGATGAAATGGGCGCATTTGCAGGCAATGAGCGTCCTGATCAGAGCGGGAATATTAAAGAGGCCCAGACTGGCAGCGCAGTGGGGGGTGCTCTTCACATGAAGGCTGCTTGTGGAAGAGTGTTAAAAGTCCAGGGTGCAAGTTTACACAAATGCAGCGCAACGTTAAAGGTCTCATGCTGTTATTTTGGTAAGTTATTTTATTCTTGGAAGTCAAAAAGGCAGGTTTATTAGCTCTTTAGCCAAAAGAAAACCCATACAATCCATAAATTCCAGGCCATTTGCAGCCTGTCATTCCCATCCTTCTGAAGAGCAGGCTGTTACACTTGGATGATGCACAGAATTACTGGCCCCTTACGCCATACATCAATGGATAGTGACCAATATATCAACGTCCCCTGGATAAATATGCATTCACTGATTCAGTTTAAAATAAATGGACATTGAGAATCCTTAACAATCAATTCCAGGTTTGCTGTTTCTTCACAAGAACTTAGAATTGAGCTGTCCTCCAGTAGTAACTTTTTAGGGACCTCTGCCTTGCCCTGGCCCTCATTTAACCTCTTTCACTCCGGACTTCCTATCGGAGGGACTTTGACACGGTTCTCACCTTCCCTTAAACTGCATTACATCTCCAAACCCGTTCCCATTTATATTTCCTAATTAGCAACTGAGTGTTATTTTGCTCAGTTGCGGGGATCCAACCATATTAATTTCCCCTCAGCTTGCATTATTGTTCATTGCAATAATTATCAAGCATTTTCCTATCCACATTAATGGTAACATAAAACGTCAATGTCTCAGGAAGCTTCTGAATTCCTGCAGCTCACAAAATGTTTTTTTTTTTTTTGCGTCCGATTGACCTGATATGCCTAAAGGCTCATTTATGCTCAACGTTAAGCACAGATAAGGATATGGAAATGGATAGAGCCTTCTATTTGTACTCTGCATTCATTTCGTCCGTATTTCTGCACATTTGCAGGAAGCTTACGGATAAGGACGAAATGGAGAAGTACTGCTGCCAAAGCACCGGGTTAATTAATCATTTTTATTTTTTTTTTTCCATCCGTACAATATCACTATTAAGTGCATTGTCATTGTAGCCCTTCAATGATCTATCATTTCTTCATACTTTCTAAATAATCACAGGCTTATGCATTGGTCTTGATAATTCAGTTAGTAAATTGTGTGATTATTAATCAAGTGATCTTAAACAGGAACAGCTTGAAAGCAATTACACGTTTAAGAATCAGAGGCTCACTGCAAGTCATTTTAAAATCCTGAAACGTCGGT